CCACTGGGAGCTCCTATAATCCCTTTGGGTTTAACCCCCATATTTGCAAAATGATCATTGGTGCTGACTCCTTGAACCTGTACTTGCCTTCTACTCTCTTCACTGCTGACCAAAGCATATGCTTGTGACAATGAAACACTTTCCTTVGACAAAATGTTCTGCTTTGTGATATCATATTCAGGATTCAGCCCTGTTAGGAACTCAAAGATCCTGTTCCTTTCAACTAATTTCCTGTACGTTTCAGCATCATTGGGGGTATCCCATGCCACAGCCTCTATCATATCAATCTCTTGCCATAGAGATTTCAGGGTTGAGAAGTATGCTGCAAGTGATTTCTCCCCCTACCTTAGATTCTTCATATCACTCTTCAGTTTATAGGCTCTAGTAACATTCAATTTTTGGGAGTAGGTTTCTGCAACACTATCCTAGATTTACTTAGCCGAGGTCATCCAAAGATAGTGTTGACTAATCTGTGGCTGCATTGAATTCACAAGCCACCCAATYACTGTGTAGTTCTCTTGCATCCATCTCTCATAAGATGGATCATTCTCTGGGGGRGCTTTCTTGCTCYCAGAAATAAACCCCCATTTTCCTCTGCTACAAATATGGATTTTCACTGACTGTGACCATGCCAAGTAGTTGGTCCCATCAAGTTTAACTGTAATTACAGCCAATATAGAATCGGCTGGGGTTCCCAAAGTCTATCCATATTCAGCAGCACTCTTGCTTTCAAGGTTCGAGGAATCCATCATGCAAAGACTCCAATTAGGGTTTTAATAAGTTTTCCAAGGTACAGGGAATCTTGATGAACTTAGTTTGAGCTGAATCGGCAACAACAACCAGCTCACAAAAAACAGTTCAGTCTTGATAACCGTGACAGTCCAGCTTGGTGACAACACTTTCTAGAGTAAGAAATACTATTTCAGCCTTCAAGAGACAACCAGTAGACCTCCAAACACAGTATTTCAGGTCCCCAACAACCGTTGTCCCAAAGAGAAGAAATAACAGTCCACAGCCCTTAAGAGGCCTTTTGACAAACACTCTGTTTGCAGTAGTTAACACCCTACTGTTAACTAGTAGGAACCACTTCAATAATGTTTTGTATAGGTCCAAAACAAGGCTGGACAGATTTTTGGACTAGTACCATTGAGTCCAAATCAGTTTCAGCAACTTGACAGTCCAACAACAGCCGAACTGCACTCCAAAACAACCCAGAAATCTCTGAGTTGAATCAGTCCAGCAACAACCGAACAGTAGGGCAGAATGGAGGAGGGTTTCGAATACTTTAATAGCCCTCCCAAGCAACGAAAATAACCCAGCAATAACTGAGATAACTTACAGTAAGTGAATCTCTGATTTGAACTTCAAACCAGGCTGAACACCATTCTCTCTGATTTCAAATCAGGATGAACACCTTGCTCTCTGATTCTTCCTGGTCACCGAACTATTCTCCAAGTGTGTAGAGACTTGGGCACCCTCCAATGACCTCCAAGAACCAGGTGAATGACTTTAAACTTCCAGCCCTAGAACATCCTCATGCAGTTGGCTGGACTAGAACCACATGAGGGTCACGCCAAGCTCTGGTCCTC